TTAAATTGTTATTTCACTCTGTGTGTGACCAAGTGATGATTTTGACAACTAGACAAAATCCTTCACATTGCTGACTTCAAAACATTCTCTCAGCATCCTACATTCAGGGTTATGGTAATAGATGTGGTTATCCATGTAGGAACTTGCTTCCCATCTGTGTATCAGAAAGGGAGTTGAAAGTCAATTTTTTWAATCCTAACCACAACACCAAGAAGGCAATGGCTGCTGCTTGCCAATACTGCCATGAAATGTTATATGAGCAGCCAAACACAGGGAGAATGCTTTGTTTGCCAAGTACTATCACGTTCTCCTGCAGCCCTATTAACATTATCACCATTTCCAATTATCTAATGTCTTCAAAGAAATCACAGGAGTCATCTTTCTTATTGTGTCAAAGAATCAATTCTGATTTTCTGTATTTTACACCAGTAACTGAGACRAACTGAGTAAGTTACTCCTGAGATAAGAATGTGCTCAGAGTTTAAGRATAATTGCCCATGACTTTGATGGACATAATTTATACAAGCTAACCAAAAGCACTTATACATCATCGCATAGGAACTCTTCATTTTAGGTAGATTTCTAGTTAACATACTARGAACAAAATATTTTGTCTTTTTGTTTTTTCCCTAGACAAGTCTTTTTTTTTGTTATTAGCAGCTTAAAATATCATACTAGTATTTAATAAAGCTCTGTTTAKATATATGAATTTTAGTATTTAGCCTTCCAAATATAATCCTGGATAGATCATGCCATAAGAACACACTAGTAAAGTCACTAGTAGTGACTCTTATACTTTAAGAGTTTGCACAAAACCTGACAGCTTGACTCTATAAYGGACAAGAATTTCCAGAAAAGAAATGCCACTCCAAAAACTTCGCAGCTTTATTCCTGTGAAGTTTATGAGCTGATAAACATTATGAGGAATACTGAAGATATGCTACACATAAAGGGCAACATGAAATAAACGAATAAAATGAAGTGCATAAACCAGTGTACACTAGATGATTAACCATTGTCCTCATAGTGGAGAGAATGAATATGTGTGCACAAGTGAGCATCTTTATACACTGCATGCATTAATGCCTTCACTCAAAAAAAGGAATTAAAATAATTATCCAGACACTCTGGATATTTATAGTAAAAATGTACAAAATAATCTTTCCTACACCTATGATTGCCTACACCRTCTGTTCTTTGTTATGGGGATCACACTGGGAGTTCAAGATGGTAGAAATGAAGAATGCTATAGAAAGGAAGAAAAATAAATTGAACTTTTCCCAGAAAACACCTTGTAATTTGATGATACATAATGAATGATTACTAGACTTGCTCAGCAGCAAGAGGTATGTTTTGGTACTTCCCAAATCAATCAGAAAATAAAAACCATGATTGATTGTTGTTACTCTACACCAAAAGGCAACCTATGGGATGGTGAAGTGGATTACGCATGTTTCTTTGATCTTTTCCAAACASATTTCACTCAATAAACTGCTTATATGTTTTTATAATCACATCCTACTGGAGGCTGTTTTTCACTGTCAGGAAAATTACTCTGGGTGAGAAGAACGAAGAGCAACTAAAAACAGGTCYACAGGGATTTCCTGAAGAGAAATAAACAGCTTTTCTAAACTCAAGATGGGTGAAGAAAAATTTTTCTTCTGCCGTACTAAAGGGAAAATTTCTCTGAAAGCATCAGTAAATATCTTCCTACACAAACCACACTCTGACAAAACCACAATGTATAACCCTGCTATTAAAAATTCGATGCAATGGACAATTTCTGTTAAATCTGAAAGGGGGACAGTCTTAGATAACAGTGACAATTGCATTCTGCCCAACTCATGGTGGTTTCACTGCTTCCTCCTCATTCAAACACATGCTGAACTTGGGAGGAAACGTGTGATAAATAAGGGGGCTGAGGAGGAATTCCCTGTTACGTGGGAGAACTGCAGCAACACAGGACTTGTTAAACACAAATGGGACTGGGGATAATAGCTGCTAATGCAAGACATTGTACACATTGTGGGAAGGAGAGAAACAAGGTGAAATCTTGGGTGAAAATGATATTTTGTGAATATATTTGTAAATTTGAAGCCATGKGTAGCTTTGAAACCTGTTTAAGGAATACACTAGTGTACTCACCAAGACATGTACTACTTGTTCACATTTTAACAATAAGCAGGCCCCACAGATGTCAACATGTCACTATGTTTGAAAGGCACTGAACTTGMTGATCTACCTTTAGCTAGATTCCCTTGTGCACAGCTTTAAGGTATCACTGAGAAAATACTGAACTTCACAGGATACAAACTTCTTATACAATCAGGAAGGCATATGATTAGCTAATAAAATGCATTAATATAATATCAGGCACAGACAGAAGGAAAAAAATACATTTCTGCGGAAGAGATTAGCACAGATATTTCAATGGATTAGGAAGTTTCTGTGACAGAAGGTATATTTAATATATAAAATCCATATAATGAGAAGCAGTGGAAAAAATAGGACAACTGTCATGTGTCCAAGAAATATCTTCATAAAAAAGCTGTCAAATATAAACACTTCTCAGCAACAAAACCCTCTGCAACTGAACAAGGCAAAATTAATTCCGAATGTACAATGTGGATCTTATAATTACTAATATCCTTAAGCAACTGGATATCTCCAAATTCAAACAGCACTTACCTTCTCCTGTTAAATAACTTCTGCCTGACATTTATGATTAGTTGTACATAAAGATTGTTCGTTTATTCTAGCAAAAGGACAGTTAAAAAAGAATCCGATCAATGTGTAAAAACATACCCAGAAGCAAACACCTGAGAAGGGTAGGAACTAATTAAGCTCAAGGCCGATGCTGGCACAAGAACAAATGGTAATTAACTTGGCCATGAAGCAATTCAGGTTGCAAACAAAGCAACTTGATGTTTTCAGAYGAAAATTCACATTTTTTTGATCAAGATGACCTGGCTGTTTTGAGTAASCAGGGCTTGAACCCAGGCAACCCAAGGATGTCCCCCACTTCCAGTCATACATCCTAAAAGCACAACGAATTTTAACACAAATCTTGCAAACCTTGAAAAACAAAAAATCAATTTTTAAAAAATCTTTGAAAACAAATAATATTAAATCATATAATAAATCTGATCACTGAAAAAATATAATGTATCAGCTATAAATGATAAAAATACCCATAAACTCACAAGTGAATGAATTCCCAAAGGTTTAAAAACTGATTTGTGTAGTTCCAGAAGACCATGGATCCTCATTCAAGCTATCAAGACTCTGAAGGAGCCTTCCCAGCAACAGGTAGAGCTGCTTAAATCCTATTACAACAACAAACTCTGGAAGATCCCTTCACTTGGTACCAACACTCCTTAGTCTTGTGCCATCCCCCAAAAACYGAGGAGCAAAAAATGCTGACATGGCATTCCTTATCATCACAAAAAATAAGTAACAACAGTAAGTAACATCTTTGAAGCCTCATGGAATTCGTTTTTACTCTGCCAATCACAAAAACTCAAGAGAACAATACTGAAGAATAACCAGTGCACAAATGGGACACACCAATCAATCACAAGCCTGGCCCCTTCATTGCCCTCTTTCACTGACTTTGGTAAATTTTATACATGAACCTAATGAAAACACACAAATTAAGCAAGCACCTTTCAATGTTTTGTGTCATGTGGTGTTTTTTTCCCAAGTTCGTGAAACTAGCAAACTCTTAAATAAGAAAGTAGCAAACTCATAAATAAGAAAGTTTGATCTAGGTAGGTGTACCATTTCATCCTTACATTAAACTAATTTGTGCTTCATAAGGAACCAYGAGAAATCTGTTCCATTGCCAGTACATCCTACATCAGATCCATGATTTAATCTCACCTTTTACTAATTAATATAGTTTTAGTCATTAAATATAACGGCCTTTTATTTTGAGTTTTTGGGAATACTCATGTTCAACAGAAATGCCATTTTAATTTATATAAACTTTCTTCCAAAATGCAGAACAAATTGATTGCTTTCCTTCACATAAAAAAAAAATTTCTTTCCCTTCTCCTTCTCTTTTTCTTTTATTGACAGTTTAAAAAAAATCCCACAAAACACATACAATGTCCAAATTGGAAGTCCTTGATAAACTCTTTTTTACCCAAAAAGTCTGTAATATAGCACACGTGCAACTCTTAAGCAAGGAACACTCAAGCATTCCTAGTCTAGGAAACCCAGATGACATCATGACAAACATTCTCTTTCTGGAAAAATGCACACTGAAACACTTACCAAAAAAAAAAGATGCTGATGAATGCCACTTTATTCACAGATCTTCTGGGTTTATTGATAATGATATCTACATTTATCCTTAATTACTGTTGCTTTGCATTATTGAAAGTATTATTTGGGGGACAAAAAATTTTATTCATCAGATAGGTAGCTGTTTTTTAAAAAAAAATCCTTTTCAGTTTCAACTACTTTTTACTTCAGACCGAACCAGAAATCAATTGTTTACAAGGTTCTAATCTGAAGTTATTAAAAATGGCTTTATACTCTCAAAATTCCTCTTTCCTATCTTTCTTTCTTTCTAAAATACCTATTTGCAACCAAATTGCAACAGATGGAGGGCACTTGCTAGTATATCTTCCTTTTTTTTTTTACTCTGGTGTACTTTTCTTTTTAAATTGAAGTGCTGCAGGTGGTAAAGATTATACTATTACATACATATATATATATAGCTATATGTATGTATACATGCATTCCCCACTATATCCCTATTTATGGACTGGAAATTTCTAAGTAATTAAAAGTGAAAATATGGACAGTTTTTTCAGGTGGAAAGTGAATGTACTCACAGAAGCTCTAAGGAAWTTATCATTGTGATACTGCAATGCTACGACTGTTCAAAAAACTGAGTGGATGTGATGACTCTATAAATACACACACTATTCTTATAGAATTCAGGACGCTGTATCTCACTGCACTCTTATTCTGCCTCATTTAATACTCACAGACAGACTGTAAGAAGGTTCCAGTATCACTGGCACTGACATCTTCCCTTGAAGATTCAATTTTGTTAAGTAAAAAATCTTTTCTCCCACAATCCTCTCCTTTTTCATGCGCCGTACACTGTACAGTCGAAAGCGAACTGCATAATTCCCAATCATCTCAGACTCGATGTGATTAAATTTGAATGTCTCTGTGAAGACAGGGCACGGTCCCCGCTGGATGCTGGTTTTTGCTCTCTGCTTCTTTATAGGGAGGAGAACTAGGTGTACTTGCCACGAGCTTCCACCTGTCCTGCTGTATGTTGGAATGTCTGTGACAGCTGTCACTGTCACCAAAAGCTTCTGTTCCTGTGAGTCATAGTCAAAAGTCACATCCAGTGTGCCATATTTAGCTACTGGCTCAGGATCAAAAGGTTTAGGAAGCTGTGAAGATGAGCCTTGAGCTGACATATCCTGAAGTAGAGGGAAAAAAAAGCAAATTATTTATTTATTTATTGTATTCTATTATTAAGTCTAGCATGGCAATATATGGTTTACTCTAGACCATMTGAAGGCACTATGATCTTTTTGTTCATTTCATAGACAAGGTTATTAAACATCAAAAGTCCAAGGAGATGGCTGACTAGGAGTCAAGAAGAAATTGGAAGAGTTTACCTGGCCAATTCCATCAAAAGCCAGGAGCCAATCAGTCTGAACTCAGAGCTGTCTGATCAAGCTGTAATGATCCAGTCTTTTGTGCCCCACATTAAAACATATATTTGTTACAAGACAAAACCACCTGATTTCAGTGTGAGTATACACATATTTTGAAGTTAATCTATTACATTGTTTGAGGAGACAGCTAATGACCGAGAGCACAGTGAGGTGACAGCAAAGAATACAGAAATTACAAATCTACTTGCACATGCAACTCCTGTTGCAGTCCACAACAGCCATATGAATATGCCAAAAAACATCACAGAACAGTCAGGGTTGGAAGGGACCTTAAAGATCTTTTMGTTMCAACCCCTCTGCTRTGGCTGGGGATGTCACTAYCATGGCTTTATTCATGTAATTTTACTGGAACTGTCCAAGATACATCTGTTTTGAACTCTTCTTCCAAACTCTCTGTAAACCACTTGAGTCCTAGAATTGTATTTTAATCTTAAAATTCAGATTGTTTATTGTCACTTCAAATTCTGAATAAAAGATTTATCCCCTATAATGGTACAAYAGCTGGTTTGATAGGGATACTGAAACAGAAAATACTTACAAGTACAGGTCAACCTAATGCTCATACAATAATTCATTCCAAGTATGTTAAACAAAGTATTTCAAGTGTGTCTTCATATTATCAAACATACACTTGTTCATGTGAATGAATGGATGCCAAAACAAAGCCTTCTGGGTTAAGAAATGTTCTTATTTTAACCTGGTTGCCACATAGCTGTGGGAATTCATTCCCAGAAAAGCTTCACTCCTGAAGTTTTGAATGGCTATAAAAAAAACTGGCAGCATTCTCAGTTCATACTGGTTATGTTTACATTACTGGCTGGAGTGACACAAAATAGGAAGACCTTGCAGCTGGGCCTTCCACACCTTGCACCAACACCACAGGTATGCAACATCAACCTACCAACAGGTCTGCTAAGACAGCTGTTGGCACACCAGAACTGAGCTCTAATGTGCACTTTAAAACTTCAGGTAGCAACAAAAGACAAATTTGTACCTAAAGAAGCCTCTTTCTGCACATGGCATCAATAGACTTACCCACAGATGTCTGTGCAGTAACTGGTTATTAAAGACATTTCAATGAAAAACATTTCAGAAAAGAGGATTTCTTCACAGAAAAAAATACATATATATCATTACGGTGTATAGCAGAAAACAGGAAAATTAAGTGGACCAAACTGTCATACTACATCAAAAATTGAAAAAGAAAATCTTTTTAAGTGATTTTTTTTTCATGGAACTTCTTTTACCTTATGGGGTGTTCAGTTTGAAAAAGCATTAACATAACTTTTCTTTTATTTGGGATATCTGAAAAATCATGTGGAAAAATTYYGACTACAGTCCTGATATTGTGATGMAGTTTTATGASTGGTTTAAAATAATTTAAAAAATAATTCACTTTTACTAGAAGCTGGTCTGAAAGTTAAGGTGCCATAAAGATAACTACAGCAATCTGAATAATCTGAAATCCTATTGTATTTTCTGACAAGCTATTTTTTTTTAAATGAAATGAGCTGCAATATTAGAGCTCATATAAGTATGCACCAGTCCTTAGATTAAAAAAGTGCCTCACAACACTCAGCTATTYTCATTTACCTCTGGACTAAGAACCGCCGTGCTATCACTTGGAACATCCTCTTCATATCCTTTGTTATGAAAGCTTTCTATTTCATGTCCCGTGCTTCCCTCACTTGGGCACTTATATGAACATCTTGGACTGTTGCTACACTGGGAATATTCACATTTGCTGTCTCCAACTTCAGAAGGCGTRCAGGAAAGGTGAGGAGAACCACTGTCATCCTGGTACGGAGGCGGCTGCAGTTCATCCAGCGGAGGTGTTCTTCTCATCCTCTGAATGCAGTTCGCTGAGAATAGGTGAAAATTCTTTACTTACTTTCTGATCATTTACTATTCAAACAGTTCTGTGCAAAATGTAAATCTAAATGCCTGCACAGAGAATTAAAAAATCTATGTATGTCCTTTTCACATACTTTATATGAAAGTGATATATTTCACTTTATATTTCAAATCAGATGGCACACAGTACTGAAAAAGAAATTGTTAAAAACAGAAATGAGTGATCTCTCAGATGAAAGAAATTTAGATAAAAGCAAAGTTTTAAGTGTATAGTCAGAATGAACTGTGTAAAGAACACGTAAATAAATATAGCATGGATATGACATGACAAAAATTCTAGGCTTGAATTTCAGGGATGCTTACCTTGCAAAAACCTTTGGATATCTTAAGTCAGATTCTGTGCAGATGGAATGTAGGCCAATTAYGGAAACAAAACRYACTCCCTAAAGCCATGATATCAAGCTGATTACCTCCCATGCAGCTGCTCACCAGGGATATACTAAATTAAACTCTGAAGAAAAGTAAGGTACTAGTAAAGGTAGCCTTTCACACAGGTGAACTCTGCTCACCCCTGAATTTAAAAAGTGAGGCAGTGTCTCAGAATCTTTATTACTTGTTAAGGACAGCTAAAAAGTGTCCAGTGTCTGGAAGTTACACACTACATCTAGTCACTAAAGACAGTGGGAAAAGGATCKTGAGCAATCTTGTGCTTGGGATGAATACTTGATGYTGACCATCTTTACTTTTCACACTAGAYAGACAGATAGAAACGTGGTTACACATCTCCTCATAAAGTAAACCTGATGCATGGCTACAGATACAGAAAGTTAATTCAAAGTAATTACTTTTCAATATTTTATCTCATATTTCATCATGCAGCATTACACAGTTGAATGGAATTGGGAAAAGAAAGAAAATGTGCAGCAGCTGAAATGAAAGGAATATCAAGTATAGGTAAAGAACTGTATCATACTTTGTTTACACTTTTGTAGAAGTTTTCATGAAGATTTTGATGACCCTGACATAAAGAATTACCTTATACACAACAATTTCAAAGCAAAAATGTTTTCTRGTGTCAGACATACCATTGCACACGCAGGAAAATCTACCGAACAAGCAAGTTAAAGAAAGTATTAACTGGGAAATGYAGGGCTCTTCTCTATTTCAACAGCTCTAAAAGAACCACAGCAAACAAGTAATTTAAATYCTCCTACAAGATGAAACCACTGTCAGGAACCCTCTCATCTCTCATAAACCCATCAGAGCCAGCCTACCACTCAGAGTGATTCCAAAATACTYTTCCAGCACACCTGCAAAAGGTCTTCTTGCTGTTAGCAAGTGTTAGTTAGTGTTAGCACTAACTTTTGAAACTCCAGTCCCCCAGGGCTGTAAAGCAAAGCACAGCAAGGAATACTATTCTCAAATTGTAGTCATCTGTCTAGCAGACAAACCTAAAACCTTACCTGTGAATATTAGATAACTTGTGCCCATGAAACTAGATGGACATGATTTCAGAATCTAAGCTGATCATTTGACTCTCAGTGTCATGAACAGTGGACTTCCTTTTCAGAATTTATATAATTAAATATTCTAAGAAGTGTAAAGCAACAGCATTTCTGCTTGCTGTTGCCAAAAGGCAACAAACAGCATTAAATGAGACAGTAACTACCATGCAGCCCTGACTTCATTTCTTCCTTTTCACTTATCATCAAGTCTTCAAAGAATTTTTAATGCCTAGCTTTTCCACAGTCTAACAAAATAAAAGCGTGTCCAGGTAACKATCAACACCATTATTGTCTTACATGAGTAAATAAATGACTGTGTGACTCACTTTTTTCACTTTCATGAACTCCATTATATGTCCCTGTGGGAAAACTAKATGGGCTGTGTGACAGAAAAGGTGCTTTTAATGTAGGTGTGGAAGAAGTGAAGACAAAATTCTTATTAACCAGCTGTGATTCAAAAAGCTCAGAAAAAGCTAAAACACTGGGGCAGGTTTTAACTATATATTTTTGTAATTTYAGTTTACCAAACTGAAATAGCATGTAAATTCTTAAAACAAATTATCTGGGATTAAAAATCGAAGGACACCTGTGTCTAAACAGATATAAGCAGATTTTAAACAACAGCTTTCTGTACATAAAAAGATATCAAAGTTTTCAAATTAATTCTCAAGGAGAAAAAAATGTCTAATTTTCAYTTTTTGCTCCCCACAGTAAATGAGCAATAAAATGACAATTTTTTTGTTACTGCTCTCTGAAAACAAACGAAGATTTGAATTACACTAACACATTCTAATGACTGATGATATCAAAGCCAAATGATCTCACAGACAGAAATGAATACAGCAATACCAAATATCTGACCCTGGTTATTTTCCCTAAAAATTATTCAGAAGTAGCAACTGACTTAGACAGTTAATCTGTCGACAAAATGTTGCATATGTATCAAAGTTTAAAACACAAATCCAGTGCTAGTGCCTGCTGGCTAATCACTGATTGTATTGGAGAAAAACATKTGGAGCTAGAAGGAAAGCATGTGCATATTTACACATGAAACTCGTGTCTATAACATACCATGTACTTTTTATTTAAGGTGTAAACTTCAGACACAGCTACATTTATGCATACCTATATACTGTGACAAAGCCAAAGAATACCTCCCAAAGACCACTGAATGTGGCTAATAYCATCTGCTGAAGAGTTACAAACCATTTTTTTGCACTGAAAATCTGAAATTATTCAGTGCGTTGTTTCTATGCAAGTTTTAAATCACATAKGAAATAATTTTTGTAAATTCATTTGTAAATTAATTTAATCACATTAAATGTTAAATCAGCTTGGACTACACAGGGTGAAAAACAAGCCAACATATATCCCAAAAATGGAAGCAAGATACAATCACAGAGAAACCAAAYCAGGTTTAGTCTGAGGTTCCTATCAGCCAGAAAATGCCATAACAGAGGAAAGACAGAAAGAAAGGCCTTTACGTTCAGTTCTCCACCCWAAGTACATGAAATTACTTGGCATTCTCATGATATAAGTGAAAYTAAATTTGTTTAGTAACAAATATTTGATAAATTCTAAATTGAAAATACAGTGTATTAGTGYCAATAAGAACATTTGAATAAACTATTTTTAAAGGGTTAACTGCTTTAATAAAAATTTTCATCCTCCCTTAGGCTGGGAAAACATTCACTCAGTGGTGATAGTAAGGACCTTGCTGAAGAAACCAGAACCATAAGTGAAATACCTGACAAATGCAAGGAGATTAGCATTGTGCTGGTACACAGACATTATAGCATGTAAACTGTCATTAGCACATTTAAGTCAGAAGTAAATAAATATTTTATTTTTAGCACGGTTTGTTAAATGGAGGTTCATCTGTTTCCATGAGCCCCTGTTGGACAAAGGGGGATGACACATACCTTGCCACCAAACCTCAGACACTCAAGTTAAATCTGACACAGCAACCTATGACAAACTGAGCATTCCTGGAACATACAATTGATAACTATGAGAAAATAAAATTTTTTAGTCATTTTGCTGGGTGGGATCAAAGTTTAAAGATGCAGAAGTTCACAATAGGTACTCAGTCACTACTCGAACTTGCTGCTTCCAACGCTCCTCATTTCTCGTCTCTCTCCTGGTCTGTTGTGGACCATGCTAGGCTGCACATCTCACCATGCASATGGTGATGTCCTTTTCCATGTTTACAGTGTTTAGCCTTTCCTATTGCAATTATTTTTCCCAACAGTTCACATTAGCAGCACCAACTCGACCTTCCTTATCCCATATTTCCTGAGTATTTCCAAGAACTACCATCTCTTAACACTGGAAAAGAAACTATCCTTGTGCCTTTAATTCTCCTRTCTCATAAGCCATCATTAACTATACTTCTGCAGCTTCTAGTTTCTCATGTACAATACTTCTTTAAAAATACACACTGTTGTGGGAGGCAACATTACCACAACACCCCTTCTGGAATCTGGTTTCCAATTCCTTTAAAATAAATAATCACTACACGAGCCAGTAATTTTGGCAAGTCATATTTTGTAATTGTCAGAATATCTTTATATTCAAACAGAACCTGTTCTTTCTCTAATGCATCTCCACACACACTCTGCTACATAATTATTTAATTTTAAAATCAAAYGTAAATTTCAAGTTTTCAAGCCTTCAAGAGATTCTGTAAATGTTAAGACAATTTAAATAAAACATAAAATGAAATACATGTTCAAAAATTAAAGAAACCTTTCTTATTCTGAATGATTAAATACCCTTAGAGATTTCTGATAGGCAGCAYAGACAGTCCAAATGGAATTTTCATGTTTGAACTTTTCTACCATCCAAAAACGTCATGTTGACTGAATTACCCCACATTGCAGGGAGTAGAAAATATAAACATTAAATATTGAATGAAACCTCAGGCCTGTCCTTCCTTTAAAATTAAAAAATTACATGTATTTTTGTGAGGATGAAACCCATATTATTTCATGATACAACAAATTATCCTGGCCTTATTCTATTTGTTTTCCAAAAGAGTWATGGCCTGAGTCATGCTTAATGAAAAAAAGTTAATATAGGAGTGGTATGGCAYCATTACGGACAAGAGRAAAAAAATTCTTTCTTTTTACATTTGCCTTCTTTTTGAATTTGCCATATTTTAAACTAATKTTATTCACAGTTGAACTATCTTCTACATTACATAATTCACGAGAAGACAAGAAGAATTATTGTATCTGTTTGACTAGGGGGGGCTTCCAATGAAAGGTAACTCTCTTTCCTAATATTTAGTATATTCCATACACTATGAGTTTAATCCCAGACCTGTGGAAATCAAAACAGCATTGCTGTCATTTACACCTAATGTCACGTGAAGCTYTTAGCATTACATTTTCCTTGAGCTCTCAAGCTAATGCTACTGCTTATTCATGAATCAAAAAGGTTCTCTTTTATATTTTAAATAAAAGCAATTCAAAATTACAGAATTATCTTTATGTCCAGTC